GACTTAATTTGTAACAACAGCTTGTAAAGACGGTATTACGACAGTTTATTTTAAATAATAATAATTCTGATTTCTCTACAAAGTGTTTAGTGCTTTTCCCTTCTTGTTATCCTTCCTGACTTTTTCCCGAATCCTGAGAGCCTCGCGCAGTGGATTTAAAAGTCTTTATTAACAAATTAAAAATAAATTAACAGCCCAAGCGCCTACCACCAGATAACCCGGGGCTGGTTAATAAAATGAAAAATGCTACAATAGTACGGCATTTAATGTGTAGCAAAGTAATTACTTGGCACTTAATAGTATCTTAATTGTATGATACGAAAAAAAACCAACAAATAACTAGTGGTATGTATAAGTAACCTAACGTACTAATTGGCCAACTACTGCAATAATAATAATTATAAAATATTATAAAGGCATACTCCGATGTGACTTAGAACATTTAAGAGCAATTTTGAGTTAACAAAAAATAGAACGGAACTTATGCTAATACGGAAACTAAGGACGTTATACAGCTTGTTGTTGATTTTTAAGCAATTTATTCATACCATCAGAGCCAGAAATTTGATTCTTTTCGTTTCTTAACAAGCACTTGTGTCGATAATTATTAATCAGACGATTTGTAAACTAAAAAGCAAGTATTTGAGGTTATCTGGGGATATAGGCACTCAGTTTATGATAAGCCAAATTGGCCAGTAAAAGCTACACAGGTGATCTGGTGATCGGCACTTGGGCTGTTAATTTATTTTAAATTTGTTAATAAACTGGCTAGTAAGTGCCTTGGGTCATATGGGGGAATGCGCTGTAGTTATATGTTATATTTTTATCATTAAATAAATTGGATATCAAGCTCCCTGGGTTATTTAGTAGTTTTTTCTTATTATATTTATGTGTTGCAAGTCGTTTGGATCTTTATTTTAAAGATTTTGCAATCTGATGAGTATGATTTATGTATACAGTTATAAGTTGAGCGTGTATTTAAAATATTGTTAGGTCTTATTTATCTGAATTATAGGGTTATTTGGTTTAAGAGGTTTTGGGTACTGAGTTATTAGGTTAAAAAGCTTGGGATTTAGTTAGTTGGTTTTAGCACATTTGAATTTGCCGCTTAGCGCGCATTAACTCTGGCCGCAGGGCGTCAGTTTAGGTGGCGGTACTGTGACGGTCACGTCTTCGGTTTTCTGCCGCAGGCGAGAGCGTGGACTCGCTCTCTTTTTCTCAAATGGTCCCTGTATACATGCATATGGCTACGTACACACTCTACCCATCGTGTAAACCTCTCTCACAGCCACGAACCCATTACCAACTTTTCCTTTTCTTTTGGGTGACACACGGAGCTTTTCGCACGCACATTACAATATGTATACGTAAGTATAAGCTTTTGTAAAGCCAGGCAGGATCAATCAGCCGAGGGTGACGTGCTCCTTTTCTCTTTTCTTTTCGTTCGTGGGCTACGGATACAAATGTAACGCGGATTCATACCAACGTGGAACACGAGGAAACAATCGAGCAACGACAAGTTAGTCGGTACAGATGGGAAAAAGCATCGCGAGTAGGTTACACTCATTATAGGTCTGCATTGTCGACGAGAAGAAGAAGAAAAAAAAAAAAGGTACCTCCAGCTCTCGGTATACGTAACGCCCCAACAATCATCTAGCACGAGGTGTTGGAGAAACGTAAGAGTTGAAATCCATCTTACGTCCGAGAGTTTTGGGTGCCCACTGAAGGGGGGCGTCGAGCGAATCGAAGAGGAATAAACTGTGAGAGAAGGAGAGCGTTAGCATAATGGCCACTCGAGAGCACAGCAAAGATTCTTGGCTCAAAAAAAAAAAAAGGGCCAAGGCTTTCCACCACTTTATTTTTTTTCTTTTTTCCCACTCGAAAGACGCTTACGTGATTATGCTAATAGACGTACATATATTTATATAAGTACTCGTACAACGCGTCGCGAGAAAGACGAGATCCAAAGACTTTGTTGTGATGCGCGTAACGTTGTCGATCCGAGAATATGATGTGCAGGCAGTCGCGATGCGCAACGATCAATTTTACATACATCACAACGCGGCCGCTCCGTTACGTAACAACGAAGATTCCGAGACGTTGCGGCAATACTTACGTACCTCGACATATTGTGAGAAAAAAAGGAATGAAATATTATAAGCTCGGGAAGGTGGTGACTGCTGGGCCAAAAATAATCGTCATCGTCAATACCCACGGTGGGCACGAAAAAGAAAAAAAAAAAAAAAAAAAAAAAAAAAAAAAAAAAAAANTTATGATTTCTTGAACAAAAGTAATTTTGCTTTCGTTTTTTACTTCTAGGAAAATTTGACGGAAGTCTCCACCTTAAATAATTATTTTATTTCCAAAAGGTTTATCACTTCTAGATAAATCTTTTGAAGTCCTATCAAAAATTTCTGACCCTTTTTTGGTGCCATAGAAGCTTCATCCCAAATAATTACTTTTACATTACGTAATTTTTGTTTATTTGGCTTAAACTGGAAGAATGCACTTTCTATAGTGCTTAAGTCTAGAGGAAGTCTGAAAGTTCTTTAAGTGGTCATTCCCTTTGGGAGCAGAATAGAAGCAATACCTATCTCAGCCATTGTAAGAATTTTTTTTTTCAATTGATATAAAATAATCAATTAATGTTTTGTATAGAAAAGTCTTTGCAGATCCACCAGGACCATCGGTAAAAAAAAAAAAAAAACTTCATCCTTCAGGCACGTCTTTTCATGATACCTTTTTTTTACTCGTGAAATTATGTGAAAACGTATACTCGTACAATTTAGGCTCCGCGAAATGACAAAGGACGCGCGGCTAGATCGCTGTGATATGACTGTATATATGCAAGCCTTCGGAGTGAGGGTACAGAAATGAACGATCGGAGATCCCGATACGGTGGCACGTAGGACGCGGGTATTAACGAGCAGAGAGAGCCCCATTAGAAAGAAAGAGGGAGGGTATAGGAGAGGTTGTACCCGTA